TTTTTTTATTAAATATTAGTATTTTCTAGTATTATCTTGTTTTTATTATGGTCAGAAAATGGTATCTGTATTATTTCCCTTTGGTTACTTACTAAGATTTGCCTTGTGGTTTTATTATTTGATCAGTTTTCATGAATGGTCTATATAAACATGAGAAGGTGATATTTGAGAATATTATAGTACATGAGTTGATATGTATTTTGAAATCTCTACCTTATGTTATTTAAGTCATCTATATTCCTGTTTTCTCTCCTTTAGATATGTCTTGGATTAAAATAAATGTATTAAATTCTTCTATTTTTAGAGTATTTCTATTTTTCCTTGTATCTCTTGTAATTTCTGTTTTATGAATGTTGCTGCTGTCTTATTTCACAGATACTTACATTTCATAGGTAGTCATATAAATCACTTTATATTATTACTTCTAAGTTAGCCTTGTAGAATTCTAAGGTACCTTTTTTATTTATTAACTTTACATCTAAGTTCTCCTATATCTTAAATCAAGATGCAGTTTTTTTCTTGTTCCATTTTCTTATTATATCTTTATTTTTAAAAACATTTAAAAATTTTTTTATTTATTATTGTATTATTTAGTTATTTTATCTTGGCAGGTTGGGGGAGGTAATTAGGTTTATTTACTTTTAGAGGAGGGACTGGGGATTAGAACCCAGGACCTTGTGCATGCTAAGTATGTGCTCTACCACTTGAGCTGTACCCTCCCCTCCTTGTTATATCTTTAAACCACCTATTAGTCTTTCTTTGTATTAGTTGTGTCTTTAAACATTGTGGAGTTAAGTTTCTTTTGTTTCTTAAAAGAAGAAATGATACTTCCCTTTTAATTTATAAGTATTTTTATTTATTGATATAACTAATAGTTTTTTTTAGTACTAACAGATTCTATGTTAGTATTTAGTATAACAGATTCTCAAAGTATTTCATTTTGTTATGTTTTCTTTGCTCTTTATTTGCTGTGTGCTTTTGGTTTCTTTTATCCTCTTTTTTGCTTTTATGTTAGTATTCAGAAACATTTGTATCTTTTCTAATATTTATCTTTATAAGAACATTTTATGTAATGTCTTTAATTTCTCCCTTTTCCTTACTGTATTTTGATCTTTTACTATGAGCAAGAATAAAATTAGCTTGTTAATTCTTTTTCCTTCCCTTTCTACCATGTAATTTTAGTTAATAATAAATATTATCTGTCTTAATGCTTATCTTTACACTCCTATGTATGCTTAGTCTTCTACCAGTTTGTTGGTTTAAATTATATTATTTGATTCCTAGTTTTTGCCGACAAGACACTCAGTGAGCTTACTTCATATTTCTTCTTTCTCCTTCTCCTCACATTTTCTTTGGTTGTGGTATTTCTAGTCTCTCAGAGGATGTAATTTGCATACTTCTAACTTTTCTCTTGGTCTTAAATTTCTAGTGAAGTGTATTCAGTGCTCACCACTAGTCTTTTGCCGAAGTTTCCCCAAGCATAACTTCTCAGATAAAATTCATCCTCTTCAGGAAATGTTCATGGGTAAAATACTTTCAGAGTTCTCCCATGTTCAACATTATGCTCCAGTAGCCTTGACACCCAAAGGACAGTCTAGGTAGATGTAAGTATCTGGCCCACATTCTACTGCCGTGTGAAGCTTGTAGACAGTGTTCCATTCTTCTTAAATCAAATGTTAATAATGAGGAGTCTGATGACAACCTACTTGACTGTCCCATGTAAGTGATTTTGATATTTTTCCCAGAGTCCCAGAAAATTTTATAAATAAACCAATAATTGGAGACTTTGATACTCCCCTTTCAAGCCAAGGCAGAGTTTTAAAGTCTGAAATTGTCACTAGCGTACATCTACACTTGTCTATTCTAAGTCAGTTTTCCCAGGTACTTGGTGGGTCCTTTCAATATGCACATTAAATTTATCTTTTATTTCAGGAAATTTTATTGAATTACAATTTTGTGTATTTATTTTATTTATTTTGCCTTGTTTGTTTATCTTCTTCAGGGACTCACATAATATGTATGGTGGATCTTTTTTGCCTATCTTACATATCTGTCAATTTCTTTCTGGTCCTTTCTCCTCTATTTCTATTTTATTTTCTTGGCTTCTCCCATTTCTAACTTCTATTCTTGTGGGTAGCTTGTAATGTGGCCTTAATTTTTTTTAGATGATTTTTTTCTTTTTCTTTATTCAGTTTATTACCTGTATTTTTTCAGTTCTTGTTTGCATTTTCTTTTTATTTGTCCAGTTTTTATTCTTTGTTTTTGAATTCCTCATTTATAATCTCATTTCATACT